AGGGAGGACTGTTAACGTTTTTTCAACCCCGACTGGCCAACTCTGCCATTTTGTTGGGTTTTAGACAAAGTGTCATTTGCAATGGTGCGGCAAACTTGTATTTACAGATTTCACACCATCGAGGGCGTCTGAACGATCAAGAAATTCGGCAAAAACGCCCGACAACCACAAAATGCAAAAGTATAACACGACATGAAAGTGAATATTCCAATCACGACTCTCAAATAACTCCAGTCATTCGCTCTAAATGTTAGTTTTTAGGGCGTATTTTGTGTAAATATGAGCTGGATCGATGGCCTATTTCACGCCTCTATTCACACTTGTGTGATTATAAAAAGTTCTAACTTTCTTTGTGATCAGATTAGACTGGCAAATTCTCGGTGGTTATCATTATTTCCACCGCATTTTGGGCGCACTTTTGCTTGAATTGACGTTGGTTTGCCCATTTGGTGGCTTCATATCGCACCGAAGCCTAATTTACGCCCGATTCCTCGTCATATCGCCTTTAATATGTATTTGTTAAGGTCCAGGTACGAGTGTACGGAAGTCTGTCCAGCCCATTTCGATCACCCACAGGCAAAAGTTGGAACAAGGCCCTCTTTTTCACAAACACGCCGACTGACCGACTTGCTCCTGCTCCTCTCTCCGTCCAGCCTGAGGTTAGTGCTCTTTCAGGAATATATGCATTATCTCCTGCCAACTCGCTACTCGTGGGTTTCTATGCCCAGACGAAGAATCAGAAATTTACGAAAACCACCGGCTAATGAACCGCAAATACCTTTAGTCTTAGTTTCGCTTGAAACTTTCCGATGGAAGATCCTTTAACAGGCCTGACGAGGAGCCAGCTTCACCAAATTCACATCACAACTCCTTCAATGATCTTGATTGTACAAGTGAAACTTTTAAAGATGGGCCATTTTATCTGATCACAGTCCACATAGGTTGATTACAGTTCGTAGCGGCCCTCGGGATTGCTATTTTTGTCATATGCTGGTACAGATTGGTCACTCCATGCATCCCAAAAGTAGGTAGTTCCAACTTCCCATCGTCCACAATTCGAATGACGAAAATACGATGATCCGAGGCCAAACGTGATTGTTGGGACTTTCATTTCGTGTGAATGTGTATGAAGAAGAGATTCGAAGGTTGATCTTATCAGAAGAGGATGGCTGAATCCCGTTTTACTGCAGCCGTTTGGCTTTTGAACGAAGTTAAGATTGATGCACTCCGTGATACCAAACATGAATTCGGGTCCGGATGAAAATGACTCTTGAAATGCGAAATCGCATTTTTTTTTCTTCATTCCACCTGGGCCAGATTCTATAGCAATTCCTTTTGTGCGTATTGGAATTAATCAAATTCCTGAGAACTGCGGCCGACTGATGCCCAAGTTAATTTGCAGAAGTATACCGAAATTCGCCTGGATTCGGAATTCTTGATTAAGTTTGCACACCTCAATGAAGAACAGATAAAAGTTCAATCTGGTATCCCAGTCCTGATTCATCTGGGTCGCAGGACTTGAAACAATCCATCAGCCTCTGTTTAAAGGCACCTTCAGTTTCTTATGATGTCAATTGGCATATCTTCTTCAGCCAAACTCAAAACAAAAATGTGAATCCCTGTCATTCCAAACCGATTGTCATGACTTTTTATTATCCAAATAAGTATTCCTAGCTAGTAGGCTTCAGTACCATCCATCGACTTTAAATAGCTCGTATAAATTGAAGAAGGGTTGATAATTGAAGTCCCCCATATTGCTACGAGCTGGCTCTCTGATGGCATAGAGTTTCACCCAGACTTGCCTTCCGAAAAGTATTCTCATTTAAGCTGTATTGCAGTTTAGACCTTGCTTTTCCGGCAGGAAGTAACTACTCTCTTACCAAAATGAGCTTCTCATATGCTTAAAAACCGAACTTTGGTCTAAGCCATTTTGTTGGTTCAAAAGGTTGAGTGGAAAGGATTCGCAAATGGCCTCATCATTAGAAGGAATATTCTATCGGCCATTTGCGTTTAACTATCCTCTTGTGGTGGTTTTACGATCCCAGGAATCTGTGCTGTGCTTTAGTCTCTCCTTCCGGGACGGACGTTGTCGGATTAATGAACTGATCCTAAAAACAAGAAATCTGGAATTGTGGCCATCTGTACATCGTTGAAGTTCTCACTGAATCTGAGAATCATTTCATGTCATAGTCTGTGTTTTCGTACTTCTCAATTTCCATTCAGTTTGCCAGGACTTCAAACAGACTACGAATCGTTTCAATCGTCTCTGGTTGCTCGGTAATTCTCATTCTGTCCTACATTCATTCCTATTCAACATGGCTAGCCGTAGACACCCCATATCAATCAAAGTGTTGAATTTGTAATCACACATTATGCATGGTTATAAGATGTATTCACTTTATATCTTTGGAGAGATCAAGGACAGGTAGTTGAATTTTCCCGTAATCATATGAATAGAACTTATACTTCCATTGCATTTCACATAGTCTTGTCTCCCAAACAGTATTCTTATCCCTACTGAGGTGGACTGCAGTTTAGACCTTGCCTAAACTGGTCTCATCCGTACTTTC